ACAAGTACCAACTCTCATGTCCTTTTTTCAATTTCCATTGAAATGCCAAAGAGCCCGTCCTGGTCCGAGGCTTGGTTGATTTTTTTTCGTAAAAATGCTTTTTTTAAAAGGTGAAAGGTTGTTAGCCCTACGCCCAACCCCCAACCTGGAGGACCAGAGTATCACTCTTAGTCTAACACATCGCCTTAGCTCCGGCCGACATAACCCTAAGGATCATTTGAGCACGAAAGCCTCCTCCCCCCGCAGATTGCCTTCGACAAGGTGGTGATACCTTCGAGAAGGAAACATCTGACTAATTGCTCAAATTCCTTATAAATGTTTATTTTCCGAAAACATATACGCCTAATCCTTAAATGTGTTTCGTTCAATATTCCAGCAAAAATTATCCCTGAAACCAACTTCTTAAGAGAGACTCAAACCCTGGACTGTATTCGGGTCTCTGACCTTAGATCCTGTAATTTCCTCCCCGAAACGAAATAATTTTACCTTGGCGTCGCTCTCTTAACGCGGTTACGTTCCTGTCAACAGAAACCATTCTTCTTGTCAGGAGTCGAACCCAGTGTTGAGGCCATCGTTTCAGTAATCTCCCCTTCGAGGCAAGAAACTTTGATCCTAGCGCCATTGTTCTGTCTCGCTTAGTTTCGGAGTTAAAGGAACTGCCCTTGAAGGAAATCGAACTCAGGACACTTTTCCCGGAGTCCTGATCTTCCAACGTTCTCTCAGTTGTCTTAAGGGATAATTCCGCCGTGTTTCTACTTCACGAGCCACAAGCGAACGAGTAAAGCAAATTCAGCCCTCAATTTTGGTTTCCGTAGTATTTATTAAGGGGGAAATATGGCAGTTTCTTACAAATTCATCTTCTGGGCCTCAGGACAATTTTCGGATTTGTGACCTTGGTCAATCAAATCCTCTCCCAGGAACAAACAGAATTTGCCTTAGCTCCATCCTTCCGTGGTGATTGCTGTCCGAACAACAGAAAATATCTTTGTCGGGATTCGAAGGAAGGAAACATTTTTCAATTATACTGAAACCGGGCGGTGTTTTTAAATAAATGCAATTGGAATTAAGGTAATTATTATCAGTTATTAACTTCTTATATTTATGATTTAATGTAACCAAATTATAAGTTAGAATAATTCTCTTTGTATTTTTTTAATGTGTAAATATGGAACAACAATGGCCAGATTTTATGTGAACACCTGCATGTACAACAATGGAATAAAAGGTATTGGAATTTCTAAAGCACACCTGCAACAATCTAGGCTGTGCATGCCATAAGGTTCATTATTGATTTCTTATACATGCAGTATAATTGCCTGAATGAACCTTATTGCACTCCTTTACTGATTATTACGTCACAGTTGTGTTAGTATATATATTGCCGTCAACAGTCGACTCTCGTCATTCTGAAGAGAACTGAGCTTGAAGAAGTGTGTCTTAGAAGAGAAATTTCGTGCTGTTAAAAGTCTTTCACAATAACCAAAGCGCTCTTCATATTTAAATTACGAAGAAACTCGTGATACTGTCTTACACTGTTTACAATTCATTTTGTCGGTGGACGTCGAGGTCTCTCCCTCTTGAACAAAGTTTAAGGTAAGAGCATACGAATTATTATTTTTAATATTGTTTATCGCATTTATAGGTTACATCTGGATTTGTGAACTCTTGTAAGAGAATTAGGCTTGTCTTCTTTCTAACACAATTTTAAGTGATATTACATTGACTTCTGTTTGTTTACGGCGTCATTTATAAAAGCCTGGTGGTAAGTATAAGTACCACCTGCCTGCTTTAACAAACAGTAACTCTGTTATGTAATTGTGGGTTTCGTAAGATTCTCAGGGTAATCAGCGATCATTTTCTTAAACAGGATTAACCATTTGATCTTTGTAACGGTGAAGTGTAGTGTTTTCTTTGAGGTACGGACTGAATTTTTCCAATGATATTTAGACGAGTCTCGGCATCAAAAGGTTAATCAATGGGGCCTTTGTCACGAAAATAACTCTGATTAACATCACACCTATTAATACAATTAAATTTTAATTTAATAACAGAATAATCGGCCCGTCATAGAGCAAAATATTAATAATATAAACATCATCGTGCATATAAATTTATGCGTTCCGAATTTCGTGTTGAATTTAAAAGATCACTGATGTTATAATAATATTGGAAGGTAACAGATGCATCTTTTCTTGGCTGCAGGTATTATTCTTATTCTTCTTAAACTGCCTATCCCTTCCGGCGATCAACATTGTCTGACGATTTAACAACGAAGAGATTTTACGAGAAATCATGAACGACGTAAAGAACTTGATGGACGCAGACAAATTGTTTGCGGGGAGCGAGATGTTTCGTATAATTTTTTCGCGTTTTGAGCGCATGGAGAAGGAATTGGCCAGTCTTCGCGAGAAATGCAAAGGCGTTGACGACCTGAAGGCCAAAATTATGGACTTGGAAGAGCAGCACCGAAGGGAAAGTGCGATTACCTGCAAAACCATAAGTGGCCTGATAGATGTCGTGTCGAGCATCAAGGCTGACAACATGATTTTAAAGCAGCAGATCGAGACCCTTCGTGGCTGCCATGATCACGGACTAGAAGACGTGAAGGTAAGACATTTGCTTCCAATCTGTCGAGATTCTTTGGACTACGCTGTAACGAGTAAACACAAGTAGCGGACTCTGCGTTCCACCCTGAGAGTTCTGCAACTTTGTCAGTGATTCGCCGGTGTTTAATTCGCGTGTCGTGTTATATTTTTCAGAATAGTGGCAAGCCTGACGGCCTGAACGCCGAGAAAGACCAAGGCGTGGAGGACTGGGACGCTGCCGAACATAACCAAGACGAGGCAGTGAATGTTCCCCTTGAAGATGAACCTCCGGTTCGTTCCCCAGGTATGTAACGAAAAGCGTGTCATTTCGTGTTCCTGTTGAGAAACAATGTATTAGGCAGCTGTGGCGTTTCACGGAGTAGCCGCTGTACGAAACATAAATTTTGGAAAATGGCATGAAATAATCTGAGCATTGTCTCGTCTGAGCTTTGCGTTCGAATGTTCCTCATAAAACTGTGAACGGAGGCAATAAGAAAGAGTCGCGTCTTACTTAAAGGCTTTAGAGAATCATTTAATCGTGTGTGCAGATTGACTGTTGGGTCAGGCCTGTAATTATGATTCCTTGTTACAGGCGAAAATTCAGAGACCGATCTTCCGAGACTCGAGAGCTTTAAGCCCCTGCAACTGCTAGGGAGTGGAGGTGAGTGCGATATCTTGTAGTAAAAATTGGCAAATTAACTGTGCATTTCTCTGCTGATAAAACGTTGACTGTGGAGGGGGGTAGAGAAGCGAGGTGATACGAATAAGAAGTAACCCATATTCAGAAGTGGCCTGCTTCTTGCTTTGATGTAAATTATATTTTAATTTTTTTATGTGATACCACTATACTAAAATATCTCACGATCACCAATGATAAATGAGTAATCGATGGCGATACGTAGAAATTACTAAAAATTCTGTAGACCGTACGTTCTTGAACAAAATTTATTTGTGACTGAATATTACTTAAACAGCATCCAGAATTAACTTGTGTTATCAGGTTCTAAATTAATCAGATCGTTGCATAGAATTTTTGTGACTGGGTCAGAGACCTTCCAAAGAAGATTAAGTGCAAAAACATTGTAAGAGTATCTGTCGTAAAATAAAAATAATTCTGATGATATATAATGTATAATTTCACATTGAAAATATCACAGACGAAGTGGGATTTCCTACTGTTTTGTTACCCGACAGGGCTATTCACAGTAGCAGCTTAAAATTACGGGCTCTGATCATTTGCAACTATCAGACTGGTGGTGAGTGGCTTTAGAGCTTCCTGGATAATGGGCCTGTGCAGTACGCGCGTTGAAAAATATTATTTTTAGACGCGAGGGCTTGATTTTGCACACACAGTTTTACAAAATTGTAGTTTAATGAAGGGAGAGTGTTTACAAAAATCAGAGCCTTTGTTGAGAATATAGTAACAGGAAACATGACTGTGTGCTTTTTCAGGTTTTGGAGAAGTGTACCTCGTCCACAAGAGCGGCGGGGTGGACGATGGTACACTCTATGCCATGAAGGCGATGGATATTAAAGAAATTATGTCTTTGAAGTGGCTGCAAACAGTATCGCACTGAACGTGGTCTGCTTCAGAAGGGTCTGGAGGCTCCATTCCTCGTCGGGGTCTATTATGAATTCCAGACACAAAGGAAGTTGTGCCTCGTTCAAGGTGAGTACATAAAAAACTATTATTGACTCTGCGTTATTTGAAATGTGTACGTCTTAATAATTTTTTGTCTTAAAATTGATTTAATCACTTGCTGACGCTTAGTTTTGCATTATTTTTGTATTTTAAGTATCGCTTAGCTTGTGTGGAATTCAGTACATAAGTCGGGTCACTTGTATCTATTCCATTATGACATATCACGCAGACTGCTTTAAGAGTGGAAGGGCAATGGTTTTGGGAATGCAATTGGCTAGATGTCACGTCCTCAAGGTCAATTCAGTTCTCTGCTCTGAGAGACAAGCTGTATGCATGTGGCAGTCTCTCTGCTGACTAAGGTCTGTCACGTCCCACATCCATTTCGATGAACACGTTCCGTGTGCCATGATTTGAACACATATTTTTTCTGTTCGTTTTCTTCGATTTACGTTTATAGAGTAGAGGAAAGAGTACATAGTAGGCCTGTAAAAAAATTAATTCCACTGCCAGTTAAATGTTTTTATAAAAAACAGTACAGACAGTCACCGCCATGTGGACGATAGGAAGAAGGTTGTGGTTAATATTTATCTTGTCTGAAAACATCGTGTGAAGGGTCCTACTTGTGCTGCTGGTATTGTCTTGCAATCAGATGTTACTGGTGGAATATTCCGTTGTCAGTTTGTAAACTATCGTTCTGTTTTCAGTCTTGTGCAGAGCGTCATTTGGCAGTAACACTGTTTTATACATGAATATACAACACAGTAGTTTGCACTGTCATAGGTGTCCTTATGGTAACTAAGTTTCGTTATTCTTGTTGCAGAATATTATGCAGGTGGCGACCTGTTGGATGTGTTGCGGGAGTGGGGAGGCGTCTTTTCTGTCGATGAGACGAGATTATACCTCGCAGAAATAATTGAAGCTGTGGAGTATCTGCATAAGGTAGGCAAACAGTCGAACTGCAGTTCTCTGCGCTATAAAACGCGCTTGATTGATTGCGTGGACACAGAATTTTTTGATTTCATTCGATACGTCATTTATTCTCTACGTACCAATCATTTATAATTTCTGTGGGAAAAGTCTCAAGTACTAACAAAGTATAGTAGCGATGATCACGTAATTCTTGCGAATAATTCTTTCGGGTTTAATAGGGGCATGTTTTATTAGCATCGTCATGTTTCTGTCGTCAGTGACAGATTTCTTCTGTACAATAATTGGTTGTCGTGGAACTTGTGCGATACTAACTTTTAGCATAATAATGTGAGGTCGTGTGCTCCCGTGAGACAATCCGTACTTTCCGAAAACTGTTGCGAGAAACTAAGCGAGAGAATTGTTTTAATAGTCTCACGCCCCTCTGAATACAGACATGGCAAACCGTGCTACTCGTCTCCTTCGCAAGTTCTAAATTCTAACGAGTGTCTCTCTCTGTACATATTTTGTGTGAAGTGCGGAACTATGCCAATATATTACATTCATATCAACAGGATCTGAAAGAAAACGTAGAATCTGTACTCAGACTAGTGTACAATATTAATTTCCAAAGTGAATTGGTAAAGCTCAATGTTTGCCTAGTGTCCGAGACATCTTCATCCCTGCTCTGTGAACACGAGCAACGTCTTAGATCCTCACTCATAATCAGGGTTGAAGCGACAGCTACAGTTGAGATTGGTTGGCGTTAGTCGTATTTAATTGTATCAATAACAGTAATAAACGTGACATCTTAGTTCGGGTGATATTTAGCAGAAGAGCATCTCATGACCACAATAAGAAAGCAAGATGGACCATATTTCATCCCCTCTGTCCAAGGATTTATTTGTTAATTTGTTTCTTTCAGCTGAGAGTCATACACCGTGACCTCAAACTACAAAATATATTCGTAGACGCTGAGGGCCACATCGCCGTAGCAGATTACGGCCTATGCAAAGATTTTGCCTGGACTAAAAAGGTAAATGTTATATCCACCTCATCTTTTGTTCAGTGGACCGCTGTCCGTCAGACGGGGAAGTCAGGTATGAGCCCTGTAAGGAGTTGGCAGGTTTCAGGTGCCTTAAATTTGACACAGCATAACTAAAAGATGTCACAGGGCCTGTGAATCTGAGGAGGTAAACTTGAAGCGTAAAAATATGCCTACGTCTGTACTGCAGTTTTGTAAGTAGTTGTCGTCATTCTATTCGGAAGCCATTAACGCCTCGTCTAGTTTACCCAGAATTAAAGATCTAAGATACTTAAACGTGTTCTTTGCTCAGAAGAAAGAACGTCAGGTGCAAGTGTTTTAAGAAAAGGGTAATATTTGATACTGAAGGGGGCAATACAAATTTCTTCTTCTTCTTCTTCAGTCCTTGGTGGACCCTTGTCTCGTTAGTTTAAATATTACATGAAGAAACATTTGTGGTACATACAGCCTGCTGAGTAGCGCCACAAGTTATGATGGGTGGGATGTGTAGAGAGAGAAGAAATGATGCAGAATATTGGTAGGAAAATCTCTTGGAAAGTGACAGGTCCAGAAACCATTAAGGAAAAGAGAGCGTAGCATTGGGAGGGATGTTACAGAATCGCATTAAGGTGGCGACTGACTTGTAACATTTACTCGTAATGTAACATTCGCGGCGAGCATGTTACATTACACCACAACTGGTG